AACCCTCAAATCAGAGCCGAACGATCCAAAACTATTCAAATGGGGTAAGTACTAGTCAATTTATGCTTAAGAGTTCATATTCTAACTATTAAAGTAATTTCCCAACCTTATATGCAAGGTTACTAAAATTCATCCCCGGGCCCACGTGCCCAGATCCCGGAAATTTTCAAAGAAAGCCATTACCCATAACCTTAGGATCAAGAATATATGATTTCTACTACATTACATATCAAATTTCGTGGTTAAATCCCATTTTTATCAAAACCCTAGGTTTTACTCTAAACCCATAATTTTTACTAATTTACATGTTGTAATCTACCCATAAACTATATATTAAACCCAAATTAAGTAGAAATTAATTACCTCACAAAGCTAGGTTGAAATCTCCCCTTTTGAAGCTCCCAAATCGCCCAAGAATGGAGTGAAATGAGTCAAAAATGACAAATTCCCGTATTAAATTAAGGCCACTGCCTTCCGCGATTCCTTCACCTGCGATGCATTGACCGCATCTGCAGTCTCGCTTCTGCTAACGATTGTTCGCTTCAGTGGAAATGGGCTAGGCCAGCTGGGGCCGGACCTGCGGACGGGTAACCGCCCCTGCGGTTCCGCTTCAGTGGAAGAGGAGTCGCATCTGCGGAACATGGGCTCCTCCTTTAACGCCCCAAACCTTGGGACGTGTAGCTGGCACCCGGTGCCTAACTGGCCCGAGCGAACATATCTGTAACTCATTTTGTTTTTTCAAACTATCATGGGCTAGTCTGGCCATAACTCATAATGTGCAACTATAAGTGGGCAACACTGTATCACTGAACCATTTTTCTTAAAACATTAATACATATGGGTCGTCAAGACCTCTGATATACTATACAAAATGAACCTCTATCTACAAAGCCTCTAAGATTATTTGACATTAAATGGGACAGGGTACCGGCCTACCCATAAGTCTGAAGCAAAACTCTGACACGATGGCTCATAGACTCGGCTGCACTCCGAATGAGGTGGAGTCTTACCGATCCTTCGTTGAATGCTAACCTCGTCTACTATGAGGGTTCGTCAAATTGATTACTTATACCTGCAGGCATGGATGCAGTGTCCACAACAAAAGGACGTTAGTACGAATAATGTACCGAGTATGTAAGGCATGTAAATCAATATATAAAGGACATGAAAGAAACAAGGAGTACATGTCTCAACCTGTAAGTCTAGATAACTCTGTATATCATTTAATACTTATAGTGTCATGCATATGCGTATGAATGTCATGTCATGCATAGGTACATGTGTTCATAACATCATCAAGCCTCTGAGGGCATCCCATCATATCATCTCGGCCACTGTGGGCAAAATCATCAACGTATACCAGCTGATCAGGTGGTGGTGCGTATATAACGCCATAACCTTTCTCATATCCCATATACATTTACATACATATATATACATATATACGCGTATATAACGCCGTCTGATCATGGGTCAATGTACATGTATAAATGAATGCAATGCATGAGAAGTACGTCAATAAAATCTCTCGGAACGTCATAAGACCATTATGGCTTTGATTAATATCATGAAATAAACTTTATCAACTTACGTATTTTCTGAGACTCATGAACAGATGATAGAACAATAGGACACATGAAAAACAAAGAGCATAAGCATCTCTAGCATTTCTTTGAATAGAGTCATTTATGAAAGTTGTGCATTTGCTCGATTCGTTTGTATTGTATAGATCATGCCAAAAGGAAAGAAGGGATAGCTTTAACATACCTGAAGTAGAGGAAAAATCCGTATGATATTCATGGAAAAAATTACACCGTACTCCTTTAGATAGCATTCAACCTCTAAGTACAGCGTTTAATTTGGACAAATCTTCATTCTAAGGAATACAAGAAACATACTGTTGTGGTACGGCCATACTGAAGTAAAATATATCTTTGTTGGAACTTGCTGCTAGATTGGCTAAAATAGTAGCTTACTGAATTGTTGTTGCCTAAACTGACACATGTAGTTGATATATGACAATCTTGCATATTAACTATTCCCTCCGTTTCATATTAGATAAGGTATTTTTCTTTTTGGTTTGTTTCAAAATAAATGACACATTTCTAAATTTGGAAATAATTCAACTTTAAACTCTTCATTTTACACATTTACCCTTAATGAGAAGCTTTTATAGCCACACAAATGTCATGGCCCCACAAACCTTTTACCACTTAAGCTTTTAAGACCACAAGTTTCAAAAGTTTTCTTCTTCTTTCTTAAATTCCGTGCCGAGTCAAACTACCTCATCTAATATGGAAAGGAAGGAGTACTCCCTCCGTTCCAGTTTATGTGAACCTATTTCCTTTTTGGTCCGTTCCAAAAAGAACAAACCCTTTCTAAATTTGGAAACAATTTAGCTTAAACTTACAATTCTATCCTTAATGAGAAGCTTTTATAACCACACAAATACTCTGGGCCCTTTTTAACTTGTTTAGGACCACAAATTTCAAAAGTCTTCATTTTTTCTTGAACTTCGTGCCTAGTCAAACAGGTTCACATAAATTGGAACAGAGGGAGCATAATTTAGTCTTTGAAAGAGTATGGAAATTGATCGCCACTTTGTATATAGCATCTGAAGATGTAGTTCCAACTGTTGTTGGCGATTCAACTAGGATAGTTTTTGTCAAATCACGTACTCACCTAATCACAAACTTACAGGAATTGCTAACTTCTCACTTCTGATTGAAGGGTGTATAAGAAATAGTAGGACTTCCGTAAAGATTCATGTTACTAATGAGCAAAGCTCATGTCTGAATTGTAATATTGTTGGACGTTACTAACTTTTGTCCAAGGCTATACATTTGTTTTGTATTAAAAGTTATGGAATTGATGTGTCTTCAAACCCATTCATTAGGTTGCCAGCTAATACCAAATGACCCTTAGTCATTTGTTTGGTTAGCCCCTTGCTACCACGTGGTGGTGAGGTGGGAAATATTAATTTTTATTCGCTTATTAGGTAGTTCGGTAATGTCCCGTTACCCGATAATTAATCAATTACCTGCGCAATTAAGAATTGTCTTAAATTACTTAAAATTTTACTCAGTTTTAAATATACTTTATACATCATACTATCACGGTCATATGGTACCTTGTATGGTACTAAACCATAATACCGAGTATTATCCTAAATCGACAACCTTCAACGAAACTTATTTTCTTCAACTCGTTCACCCTCTCATCTGCGATGCTTCAGCCGCATCTGCGGGCTCGCACCTGCGGCTGGCCAACCGCAGGTGCGGTTATGACAGCAACTGGAGCTTCAGCTCCTTCTCAAATTTTCAACTTAGTTCGAGCCTCGTCTGATTGATGCTCGGGGGCTCCGCCCGAACATACCGACAAGTTTGAAATCATAAAACGGACTCGCTCGAACCTTCGAAATGCCCGAAACAACATTAAAACTAAGAATCACACCCTAAAACCAATTGAATCAAACTTATGAACTTCAAGTTCTTCAATCTACTTCCAATGTGCCGAAACGTATTTATACTACTCTGAGTGATACCAAATTTTGCGTGCAAGTCTTCAATGACATTTTGGAACTATTTTTGACCTCGATATCACAAAAACCTGCCCCAAACCAAATTTAAAGAACTTCAAAATCCTTAAAGAATCAACTTTCACTATTAGGCGCCAAAACGCTCACGGGTCATCCAATACCCAATCCGGACATACGCCCAAGTCCGAAATCATCATACGAACCTGTTGGAACCTTCAAATCCCGATTTCGAGGTCGTTTACTCAAAATTTTGACCGAAGTCAAACTTGGCCTTTTAAGCCAACCTTAAGGAACCAAGTGTTCCGATTTCAGCCAAAACTCTTCCAAATCCCGAAGCAACCATCCCCGCAAGTCATAAATCAGTAAAAATAAGTACGAGAAGTCTTATTTTAGGAAACGGGGTTCTAGAAAGCAAAATGACCAGTCGGGTCGTTACATTCATAAATACTACTTACAGAAAATTCATGTAATTAGACCTCAACTAAATTGAGATTAAGAGCGTAACTATTGTTATTGTTTGAAATTTAAAAAAAAAGGCTTTGAACAAACAAAAGTAGGATTGGTTTATGGCATAGCTCTAGTTGCCTTTCTCCGGAGTAGAAGCCTATTCTTAGATTGTCAATATACAACCAAAGAGCAATTTGGAGATTCATTTGCTTGACGAGTACAATCTCATGCAAAAATCACGAGCCTCAATGATCGTAAGAAGAATTCCTATTGTCATTATGTAAATCAATGAAAAAATATTTAACAGTATCACCACCAGGGGCGGACCCACATGGAGTCAAGAGGGTTTATATGAACCCGCTTCGTCGAAAAATAATATTGTGTATATAGGTATATTTTTTCTGTCTTCAAAAACGTAATGGTATAAAAATTATTTTGAACCCGGTTCAGATAAGTGAATTCCCTAGCCTGACGGTAAAGAGGGTTCAAATTTCTCACATGGTCCTGAGTTCGAAACTGGTTAGTCACTATGACTTCTATTTTTGGATTTTTTAATATGCGTCTCTTTTTCTACTCCGAAAACGATGCCGTTTACAATTTTTATAATATGCAAATTCCCCAAATCAGAACACGATCAGTTCTAATCCCAAGTTCGATGCCTCTCTCTCCCCCCCCCCCCCCTCTCTCTTTCTCACGAGATTCGCTTCCATAGTCTAATCCCAGAACACGTTGTCTCTCTCAATTTTCAAAGACAAAGCCATTTACAATTTTTATAATATGCCAATTCACAAATCAGAACACGATCAGTTCTAATCCCAAGTTCGATGCCTCTCCCCCCCCCCCCCTCTCTTTCTCACGACATTCGCTTCCATAGTCTAATCCCAGAACACGTTGTCTCTCTCAATTCTCAAAGACAAAGGGCTTCATCTTTGTATATATCAGGTTTCTCTTTGATTTTTAATCTTTTTTCTTTCAGTTACAAAGCCTAAGAAGGGCAGGTTTTTCAATTTTCTAAATGTATGTGCTTTCTTATCTCTGTGCTTGTGCATCTCCGGTTGGTTTATCTACATCCAGTGGCGGACCCAGAATTTTTATCAAGCGGGTTCAAAATGCAAAGAAGCAAATATACAAAGAGGTCAACAAAAATTATATATTAATAAAATATATTATTACAAATATCCTCTACGAGTTTTTATTTTCAGAAACGTATTCATAATAGTCTCATCAGAAATAGTATTAAATATTTTTCTTTCTATATAAGGTACCAAACAACCGCTCATGAATTCGTCATTCATTCGGTTTCGTAATTCACTCTTGATCAACTTCATCGCCCGAGAAAGTTCTTTCAACTGTAGCAGTGGCAACTGGTAGAAGCAAAGCGGGTTCCAAAAAGTGTCTACATTTTGTGTCAAGTATAATATTTTGATACCAAACTTTGATGACTTCTATGTTAACTCCGGAAGATCTCGACGTAAAGTTGTTGATTATACTATTTTACATCATTATCGTGTTGATATATTTTTTAAGATTATTGATTGGAAAGTTCAAGAACTCAATGCTCGTTTTAATGAGGTGACAACGAACTTGCTTGTTGGAGTAGCTTGCTTAAATCCAGTTGATTCATTTTCAAGTTTTGACATAAACAAGATATTAATGATGGCTGAATTGTATCCTGACGATTTTGATGAGAATATAATGGTTACACTCAAGAATCAACTTGAAACTTATATTGTTGATGCTCGTGATTTTGATGAAAGGTTCTCAAATCTACAAGGACTTGTTGATCTTTCTGAAACACTAGTTAAGACAAAGAAGCATTTGAATTATCCATTTGTGTTTCGCCTTGTAAAATTTATTTTGCTTCTACCAGTTGCCACTGCTACAGTTGAAAGAACTTTCTCGGGCGATGAAGTTGATCAAGAGTGAATTGTGAAAACCGAATGAATGACGAATTCATGAGCGATTGTTTGGTACCTTATGTAGAAAGAAAAGTATTTAACACTATTTCTTATGAGACTATTATGAATACGTTTCAGAAAATAAAAACTCGTAGAGGACAGTTGTAATAATATATTTTATTAATATATAGTTTTCGTTGACCTCTTTGTATATTTGCTTCTTTGTATTTTGAACCCGCTTGATAAAATTCTGGGTCCGCCACTGATCACCACCATAATCAAACTCGTATATGCAGTACCACTCAAAGGCATCCAAAATTGTGTATTTAAAGCTATGGGTATCTAAGGAGTTGTTATAGTCACTACAGCATTTTAGGCCTACAACCACCCCTGAGAAGTGTGGCCTAAGATGCCAAGAAGTGTAGCATGTGGGCAAAGGCAACACTTTATGTAACGACCCGATCGGTCGTTTTGAGCTCTAGCAGGTCGTTCAGCAGTCTGAGGCCATGAAAAGCTTCATTTTAGGTATTATAACTTGTACGTGTGGTCGGAATTGAATTTCGGGAAGTTCGGAGTTGATTTGGAAAGAGAATTCTCATTTCGGAAGCTTAAAGTTGAAAGAATTACCTAGGATTGGATTTTTGAGTAAACGACCTCGGAATCAGGATCAAAGGTTCCAGCAGGTTCGTATGATGATTTCAGACTTGGGCGTATGCCCGGTTCGGGTTTTGGATAACCCGAGAGCGTTTTGGCGCCTATTGTGGAAGTTAGTATTTTGGAAGAAATTTCATAAGTTTGGGTTGAAGTGAATTTCAGTGATATCGATGTTCGTTTGGGATTCCGAGTCTAGGAGCAGCCCCGTATGGTGATTTTGGAGTTGGGAGCGCGATCGAAAGTGAATTCGGAGGTCCGTAGGTCATTTTGGAGCCATTTGGCTAAAGATAGAAATTTGAAGGTTTTTGAGAAGTTTGACCGGAAGTGGACTTTTTGATATCGGGGTCAGAATCCAATTCCGAAAGTTAGAGTAGGTCCGTAATGTCGAATGTGACTTGTGTGCAAAATTTGAGATCAATCAGACGTGATTTGATAGGTTTCGACATCGAATGTAGAAATTTGAAGTTCTAAAGTTCATTAAGCTTGAATTGGGGTGCAATTCATGATTTTGATGTTGTTTAATGTGATTTGAGGCCTCGAGCAAGTCCGTGTTATGTTATGGGACTGGTTTGTGTGATTGGACGGGGCCCCGGGAGCCTCGGGTGTGTTTCGGGGTGGTTTCGGATCATTTCGGGCTGTTTTGAAATAGCTGATGCTGGTATCTGGTGTTGTTCTTCGCGTTCGCGAAGAAGGATTTGGCCTCAGGGACTCTGTTCTTCGCGTTTGCGGAGAGGTTCTCGCGTTCGCGTAGAAGGAAATCTCTGCTGCACAAGTCTGACTTCGGAGGCTTATATCTCACAATGTATAAGGAATTTGGAGATGATCCAAAAATAAAAGTTGTAGCCCTTTGTGTCTAGCTTTCAGAAATGTAAACCATTTGGAATTTGGATTTGTGTACCAAAAGTTATGGCTGGTACACTATAGGCTGTCCGGAAAGATAAAGAAGAAATTTGTATTGCACAGGGCTGACTTTGGCAGCTTATATCTCAAAATCTATAAGGAATTGGGAGATAACCAAAACATAAAAGTTGTAGATCTTGGTTTTTAGTTTTCAAAATATTAAACCATTTATAATTTGGAGTTATGTACAAAAAGTTATGACCATCATACTAGAGGCTGTCTCAGAAGAGTATGAAAAACGATTTTTGGGAATTTTCTTCTTCGCGAACGCGATGGGTGTCTCGCGAATGCGAAGAAGACTCATCTGGGCAGTGCATAAGTGTAAAGAAATGGGTTTGGCTCATTTCATCTCATTCTCTCCATGGGAGCCGACCTAGGAGCGATTTTGTAGCTCCATTTTCATCATCCATGCCAAGGTAAGTGATTCCCACCTATTGCAAGTTAATTACTTGGATTATATCTAGATTTTAATATGGAAAATCATGTAAATTAGTAGAAATTTTAGAATTTTGATGAAAACCTAGAAAATTAGTATTCTTGGATTTTGACCACGATTTTGGATTTGGAATTAGGAGAAAATCGTATATTTGAGAGTGAGTTCATGGGTAAATCTTATCTTCGAGAAATTTCGGAATCCGGGCACGTGGGCCCGAGGGCATTTTTGTCAACTTTTCGATCGGGGTTAGGAATTGCTATAAATTGGACTGTAATGAGTAATTGAGCATATATTAATGGATTTATATAATCCTTGGCTAGTTTTGGAGCATTGTGCGTCGATTTAAGTCTTCGGAGGAGCGTGGAATGCCGGTTATGGATCTTCGGAGCGAGGTGAGTCTCCTTTCTAACCTTGTAAGAGGGAATTGTCCCCATAGGTGAGTAAATTGGTTATGTGCTCCTATTTGTGAGGGCTATGTATGCACGAGGTGACGAGAGTCCGTGCGTAGCTACTATTATGCTATTGTCCGGGTAGTCTAGGACCCAAAAAGCATGCTATACTTGGAATATTTGCAATCTTATTGACAGCTTGTATTGCTTAAATCACATCGAATTAGTAATTGAATTCCTAAAAAGATTTAAACTTCATTTTGTTAAACAACTAAAGAGAATTGGCTTTTCCTTGGATAATTGCTCCATGTTGACTTCTTGATTGACTGTCTGTCTGTGTGTGTTTATATTTTGGAACGGGCCGAACGCCTCGGTAGATTAAATAGATGCATCTATAGGCGCGTCGTCGACCCTCGGCAAGTGCATAGTTTATATTTCTGTTGGAGCGGGCCGTCGACCTCGGCATAATATGCGCATGCTTGCATTGCTTACCTTGAAACTTATTGAAGTTGATATTGTCTTTTACGGCCGCTATAAAGATAATGAAAAGTGAATCATGGAAGTTTCCTTATTATTTGAGAAGGTGTTACCTGTTTCCCTGCTTTATGAGTTAAAATTGCTAGATAAATCCATGTTTCCTCACATCTTTACCATATTATTATTTGACCACTAGCAAGTGTTGAAGTCGACCTCTCGTCTCTACTTCTTCGAGATTAGACGGGATACTTGCTGAGTACACGTTGTTTTCGTACTCATACTACATTTGCTGTGCATTTTTGTTGCACAGGTTTATGTGTGGCTAGTGGCTTAGTGGCATAGCGGCATGGTTGATACGGAGACTTAGGTGAGTTGCATTTATTGAGACGATCGCAGTCAGCAGAGTCTCCTTCAGAGTATTGTATTGTATTTCCATTTATGTCCACTTGTATACCGGACAGTTATTGTACTTTATTCGATTCCTTAGTAATTGCTCATGTACTTGTGACACCGGGTTTTGGGATGTATTTGGGTTTATTCATAAATTTTAAAGGTTGTTAAATGTTTCATTATTTATACGGGGGAACTTACTATGTATTGTTTTAAATGTATAAAAGAAGTGTTTTCGAAAATATTTAAATGAGAATTTGATTAAGTAGTTTGATTGGCTTGCCTGACAGCGATGTCCGGCGCCACCACGACCCTTAGTGGATTTGGGTCGTGACAATATGGTATCAGAGCACTAGATTCCTAGGGTCTCACGAGTCATGAGCAAGTCTAGTAGAGTCTCGCGGATCGGTACGGAGACGTCTGTACTTATCCTAGGGAGGCTGTAGGACTGTTAAGAGTACTTCCCTTCTTGATTCCTTATCGTGCGATTTGATCCTTGGAGTCGTATGCCTTTAATTCATTCCTACTCAATCTTACGCGACGCGAACCGCTTGTTATAAATCGAAAATTGAAGAACCGTAATGGTACTACAGATGTGATACGGGATGTTTCTCACGGTATAGCTGATCGGATTATTATCGTCGTTTTACGGAAGAATATTTTATTGTTTCAGCCCAGTAGCGGTACTTCTGAGGGCTCTGAGGCTATGCACAAGTTGCCATGATGCCTATGAACTATTGTTCCGCAGTATTGATATGATGGTAGGACATTTGCCTACGTGTCGGGGTGGTGAATGACTTGAAGGGAGCTTGACTCAGTGCATAATCTAGAGATTCAGTATTTTATTCACGGCAAGGGAAAGACAATCGGACTAAGAATGGTCAGATATGGGCTGGTGGAGTAACAAGACTCGGTATTTGCGAGCGTGGCGGAGTTTTCTTCTATAATGAGGTGTCGCTGTCCTTATTGAATGTACTAACTTCGCCGGCGTTATGATCTTCTACAATTGCCCTTGGATCAGGATATTGCGGGTCACTATCAAAGAAGCGACGGTTAGAGATCGCGGGGTGCGGCGGTTCAAGATGGAACCGGTGTTTCTAAGGATGACGGCTCGAGAAAGATGATCTTCAGAAAGGTTTAAAGTTAGTAGCGAGTTGTGGATTCAAGTGCTACAAAGTTAGATTTCATCTAAGGCAACAATTTAGCAGCAAAGAATGAGGAAAGACGTTTGGGAAATGTAAGGCGGTGGCTAAAATTTCTAGAAGGCCAAGTATAAGGAGCAAAGGGCGAGTAGTCGATAAAAGGGATGAGTTCCGCCAAAGTGGGAGAGTGGCGGAGTTGCATATGGGCATTGTGGTAGGATGACTACGCACCTTAAGGAGAGTTTGGATCGATTTGGGAATTTTAGTGATTTGGTGATTGAGGTCTACAGATTTAATTTCGAGCATGGGCTATTATGCGGCAGGAGATTTGATATAACAGGAAGGAACTGCCGGAGAAGAAGAAGGATACAGCATAGCTTTGAATTGGGAGGATGTTGCCGCAAATTTAATTGATGTCCACGAGGGGTGAATGGACTTGTGCAGCTAGAGAGTGAGCTCGGACTCAGGTGGGTTATTCCCGGAGAGCAGGTTAGAGATCGCCTAGTTGGCGAAGCTTCTGCGAAGAATTCTATTGGTTATGCAGCAAAAAGATCGCTTGTGCGAATGTGGTTGATGATTCAGAGTATAAAAATGGGTTTTACAGCAAGATTCCGAGAATTTTGGTGGTTGATTGCGCAAG